TCTTAGCCAACTGAGAAAAACAATAATTTAAGAGCATTCAGGACAACAAAAATAGTTTGGAACAACAAGGATGCATGTTTTTTGAACTCCTAAATATATTTTGTGACGTTTAAACATCCCCCAACAGAACATAAATTTTGATAAGTAAGTGAAAAAAAATATTGTTATGTATGTACCTCTTAACTTAATAGAGGATATCAAAACAGGGGAAAGTCATTTTACTTTACTTAATTAAGTTTTATCAATCCGTTTGTCCATATAATTTTTGTTTGTTTTTATAGTTATAGTTTTTTACAACATTTATCTTTTATGTTTTTCTTCATCTGTGCCTATTTTTAAAAAACACTTGCTTTAAATCTGTTTTGTGCTTAAAGCCCCCAGATCTGGCGATCCTCGATACTTTTCGTCTTTGACTAGCTGGTTTCACTGAAGTTGAGTAAGTTCAGGCTAAATTTTCTGTGCCAAAAATAAATTTCTTTTCAAACTTCAAGAGTTAGGAAAGGGATGTCCAAACATTTAGTGCTAGTGGATGCAACATAGATATCTGTTCCATTGTGATGCCATCAAGTGATTTTCTATAGAGATTTTTTGTTTTAAAGAGAAAACTTTAAACTTGTATCACTCAAAGGAAGGTTTAGTACATCTTTATGGCTCCAGATGTTGCTCTTTATTCTTTTCTTTCTTTCACAATCTAAAGATTGTTCAAATAATATAAGATTGTTCAGCCACAGGGTTTACCATGACTCTTGTACCTACTGTTTGTATCTTAGCAGTATGAAGTTACTCAATTGATTCTATTGTTTGTGTTCAAATACTTCTTGGCTCTCATGTGTATCTAATTTTGAACAGAGGAAAGCTATATGAACTGGTTTTTGCACCTAAACTCTAGAAGACCGACAGTACAAACTCAAGAAATCGAAAGCGAAGATTCAGCCATTTCTGATTTTAACGGGGATATCAGAACCTCATTTGAAGCAAACGATCACACTTAAGCCCACACAGAAATTGAAGCAACGGAATGGAAAGAGACATACGAATCTGGATTGTAGCAACTTGAACAATGATGGCTATGACCTAAGTATCGATTTTCTTACTCAAACAGCACAAAACAATAGGAACAAAACTCAAATATTTCCGTCAAGAGCAGAACTACCTTTGAAACACACATTCGAACACAAATCCATTCAAAACTGACTATTAAGCGCAAACAAACTCATTCTGTACCCTTAAGATGTTATAGACACTAATGAATCCCAACCGACCACCATAGTCTTATTATATTTCAAACAACACCAAAAATAGATTAAGAAAGATTAGAGATAAACTTGAATCAGCAAACACCTTTGATTAATTTTGCTTGAATGCTAAATACAAGTGAAATCCAGCAGCAAAGATCAAAACGAACAGCAACAAAGAGACAGGAATCATGAACCACAGACGAGCCTCAAGCCAGTGACTCGATCACTTGAACCTCCACTTAGGGTTCAAGTTGGGTAATTACTCTCTCGAGGTTTTACCCGTTAATTGGGACTACCATTTTCATGGGTTCATCCCAATTTCTTGTTGGGTTAATTTTGGAGTCATAAACACTCTTTCTCAAGAAGAGTCAAGACCCACAAAGCTAGATTTAGTGTTTGCAACCACCAAATCCAAGTGAAAACATAAAAATAACCCAAATATCAAACACCCAACATCATTCAAGCATTAAACAATCATACCCATTAATTACCCACACTAGGGTTGAGCCACAACCCTAGCTTATGGGTTTATCTAGCCATAATAACAACAGAAATTGAAGGAGAAATAGATAAAATGAACATATTAATTAACTAGAAGGTAAATCTACAAGAATCCACGCTAAATAAGATCAAAATGCGCAAAATAGGCTAAAACTTTTGTCTCACGAGTGCAGCAGCTCTCCTGTATCTAATTCGTGCCCTAAAAATGGCAAATATTCTATTTATACTAAGTTAAGAAAAACCGGACAAAAATACCCCTGCGGGGTCCGTGCGGTCCGCACGAAGTTGACACGCGACCGCACTGGGTTGCTTGACTTCTGAGACTTGCCTTCTGAAGATGTTGACGCGGACCGCACAATGATGAAGTGCGGCCGCATGATGACTGGCGCGGACCGCGTGAACTTGTAGTGCGGCCGCATGAGTGGCTTGTGATGGTCTCTGAACTTTTGTGGTGCGGACCGCGTGAACTTGTAGTGCGGCCGCATTGGCTGGGACTGAGAATGCCAACTCTCTGAACTTTTGTGGTGCGGAGAGAATTACAGAGGGATTTGTAAATATTAGTGAATAGTGGGCAATTTGGAGTGATTAAAGTAGAAGGGATCTGTGATGGGGAGAATATGGTGTTTGTAGCAGTGGGAAAGAATGTGAAGGAGGGCAAATCCATACTCTCATGGGCCTTAAAGAGCTTTTCTGTTAGGAGAATTTGTATTCTTCATGTCCACCCCTCCAATCATTTACGTAAGCTCAGTGCCTTCTTTTAACATATGAAATTTGACATTATGCATCTGCAGTATACACACATAAAGTCTTGTTTGGGATTGAGATGCAGTTTTTTGATTGATTGATTCATTGATTGATGCACATAGAAGTCTTCTAATCAATCAATTAACAAAATGCATTGCAGCTGGATCGCTTGCATCTTTGCGAAACCTAAAGGTTTCGTCATTGAAAACAAACAGAGTTATTAAAGCTCCAAGGTCACTGCCTCTGCATTCTACTTCTACACCAGCACAAACAGTACATGAGCAAGTGCAACAAATGCCACTGAACTCTACACCTTCTGCATAACAAGCAGTGCGTGAACAATTGCAGCATTCTACTTCTTCAGGTGGATCGTTGCCTCTACATTCTACTTCTGCACCAGCACAAACAGTACATGAGCAAGTGCAACAAATTCCACTGGACTCTACCTCTCTTGCATCACAAGCAGTACGTAAACAATTGCAACAACTACCACTGGATTCCACCACTCGTACTTCACAAACGGTACAAGAACAAGTTGAGGATTCTTCCAATCATGAAACAAACGAGCAATCCGAGGAACAAGGCAAGAACATATAGATTTCAATCATCAAATTCAATAACGTAATGACTTTTGGTGATTATTCTTACTTCATATTAATGTAGGTCCTTCTGCCAAAAAACGAAAAAGAGGAAAAACTCAGATGCAAAGTGTTCATGGTAGGAAAGAGCGAAAGCAAATTGTGCTAAATGAGAACAATCAACCCATAGGTCCTACTGATGATGATGTAAATGAGTTGGGTAGCTTCCTTGGTATATTAGCAAGGAATGCGACCTTTTGTCCTCTTAATGTATTTGATTGGAGGAAACTTGAGACAAAAGAAGATATGTGAAAATATGTCAAGGTTTGAAATTCGCAATATTCAATAGGTGTGTGTGGATATTTCATATTGTTTACACCAACCTAACTGCTCTAAATTTGTAGGGAAAATATGACATTCATGAAGGTACAAAAAAGCGGGGTTTTCAATCGATTTCAAATGCTTGGAGAAAGTACAAAAATCAGTTATATAAAGACCATTTTGAACCCTATTAGAATGACGAGCTTCGAATGGAGAATAGGCCGGTTGATGTTCCGGATTCTCAATTTAGGGAACTTCTTAGATATTGGAACTCTGATACCTACAAGGTAAAACTGAATATTGTTCCATGATTTCCTTAAAATGTCTGATTTTTGTTTATTTAGAAAGCATGTTCTTAGGCGAGAACGAAATGGAATGAATAGTTTGCAATTCATTACACATTTACATGTTGTAGATATTTCTGTGTTCAGAAAGGGAAGTTATAACTGGTGTTCAGAATTCCAACTTTCGCTTTCTCTACTTGTTATCATTTTAAAATGTTATTCTACTGCATTTTAGCTAACTGGGTAAAACAAAGTGGAGTAAATCTTTTCAGGTTTCAATACTTCAGAACTACTACATGCTAAACACTGTTACACAAGTTTTAACGGAAGTTGTTGAGATGCTAAATTTCTGTAGACAGTTCTCTGAAGTAACTTGCATATAAGTAGCACTTGACTAGTAATACAGTGTATTTATCTCTAGATTGTAATTTGCGCTTTAATTAAGAACCAGATGTACCATTTTTGAATTCTCTAAGACTGACATACAAAGAGTCAGTATGGTGGATGTTCAAATATAGAACATGTTATCAACTGCTGCTTCAATGGGAATGACAAGCAAATGATCTTTTTGAGGAAGAAAAATTAATGGAACTAGGGGAGAGTAAGCACTAAGAAGCAAGGAGGCTCAATTTGATCTTTTAGCCCAAGTGTAATTTGGCTTCCTTTCTGCACGTCTCTATACTGTTTATTTTACCAACAAAAAAAGTACAACCAAAGTGCTAAATCCTTGGTTGATCTGGTAAAAATTCTATTAAGAGAATAAAACATTGCAAACTATTCATTCCATTAGGTTGTGCTTATTCATGCTTATTCATTTATGACTAAAGAACGAAATGTTCGTTTACACTTGACTTTGCAGAAAATGAAAGAAACCAACACTGAGAATCGCAAAAAGTTGAGATATCCACACACTGCTGGCAAAAAAAGTTTTGCTAGAATATGCGATGTTTGATATTTTTTTTTCTTATTATTCTTTTAAATATGAACTTGCTAGCCATAATCTGAACTATTTTATACCACTTTTTATGTAACCAGGAAAAAAAGAAAGAAACTTCTGAACCTCTATCAAGTAAGAACATATTTGTGGCTGGAAGAAAAAGAAAGCCCGATCGAGTATACAAGGCCTCGTATGCAGATACTCTTAATAAAATTGTACGAGTTACTAATTTAAAGTTTGTTGATATCATTTGTCTGTTATTAGTTATTGACTCATTTTTATATACTTTCTAATCTAAAATTGACTCAATTTGGTCTTGTAGGCTGAAATGGATAGAATACAATCAACACAAGAAACTGAAGATGGCAGTCAATCAGTTGACGCGTTTGCGTCCGTCATGGGACCTGAGCATCTAGGACGCCTAAGATTGTACGGACGTGGGGTTACCAAGACTTCCTTAAAAAGAAAAGTGGGAGATATTGGAACCTCTTTAAGTTCTACCGATGAGATGTTGCAACAAAAAATGGTGGAAATGGAAGAAAGGATGCAACAAAGAATGCAGGAAAAGTTTAATGCACAAAAAGATGCCATGGAACTACAAGTTGCAGTTAACATCATTTCACAACTTAAGCGTCTGAATCCAGATTTACAGGTTGATCTCAACATGCTAGCTTTCAATGCTCGTTCACCTGGAGATGCTTCCTCTGCACAACAAGATGCTGTGCAACTAATCAATCGTCTATCTACTGGGAGTAATAATCGAGGTCAGTACGTACTCTCCTCCTCCTCCTCCTCCTCCTCCTCCTCCTGTTTCTTTTCTGCTGCCACTGGTCTCTCTGGTAAGGCATAGTGAATGTTTGATGGGAATATTTTGGTAGTAGCTTTTATAAGCAGTAGAGCGCAAATTGGTGTGCTCACGTGAAAGTAGAGCGCAATTTTATATGCTTCTTATTGGTGCTCCAATCAAAAATAAAAGAAAAGTCTCCTGCTTAAATTTCCCCTCCGAACAAAAACAAGAAATCATGCACTGTACCTTGGTATCTTAATAAACAACAAAAATTAAATTCATGTGAGGAGCATAGCCTCCTTTTAAAATCTGATGCAAAGGAGTATATGTTCTAGAATCAACAACAATCGTCTAACACAAGATAAAATCTTTTCAATGCCTTTTTTTTGGATCTCCACAAAAAACTGGTTCCCATAGTGCTCAGATTGTTACTTGATAAAAATTGTATGCCAATTAATCCTTCTTTTCAGCATCACCATCAGACTTGTCCACAGTTTCAGCAACACTTTCGGATGGACCATCTTCTAATGGCTTTGCGCTCTCTGATGCAACACCTTCAAAGATTGGCTGATATGATAGTTCTATTTAACTGTATATATAAATGTATTTATCTTGTTTGCTAACTTTAGGCTGTCTTGACATTGGATGGACTTCAAAAAAGTAAGGCATTGGCCTTGGCAGTAGGATTTTCTTTTACCCCCTATCCCCCATTTTTTGTCGTTTGCTCTTTTCCTTATATTTGGCATTGGCTTATAAAAGCCAAGACTAGAATGGTTAAAAGTTGTTATTAGTTGTTGTTTAGGGTCATGGTCTAACTTTTCTTTGTATCTACTGATATATAGAAATCATTCTCTAGCCAACAAATGCTAAAGTTATTTATACAGTTCTCACAACTAGAAAGTATAGGGGAATCTATACAGTATTTGTGTGGCGTGGGTGGAAGGTCTGATTACTATAATGCATTCTTATTGAAATTAACTGTACTTGTTCTCTCATTTGTAGTGGAATCTTAGATGCATATTAGGGATATGTCTTGACCTAGATGTTTGTATGCATGCAGTTCACAAGCATATATCTGAAATCAGCTACATATCTGGTCTTTATAATTTTATAATTTGTTAGTAATAGCAGTGATGTAATCTTAGGTTGTGATATTTTTGCAGTGATCCTAAAAAGAGTTGGAAACATAATCTCTTGGCTACTTTATATTACAACAAATTATATTCTTTAAGAGATATGACATGCTGTGTCTAGTATACTTCAAAACTGCCTGTTTTAAGTGCTGAAATGTTGGAATTTTCTCAACTTACAAAGTTACAATTAGAAGAATGAAAGGGAAGATGCAACCAACCCATTCTCTACTTACAAAGTTACAATTGGAGAAAATTCTACTATACCCATTCTTATTTAATGACTTTATTTATTCTCTTTTGTAGGTGGAGCAACTGAAGAAAGGGAAGATGGAGAAAGTGGAGCAACTGAAGAAAGGGAAGATGGAGATAGTGAAGATCTAGACCTTACTTCAGAAGAACTTTGAGTTGTTGTCGATATTCTTGGAGTCTTTTGTTATAACATTTGAAACTTTAACTTTTAAAGTGTCGAACTGTAAAACTTATGTAATTGGGTTAAAACATTTTGTTATTATCGTTATTCTTAGATTATTGGACATGAAAGATTATGAAGTGTTTTATCTTTTTATTTATAATTTCCAGGTTATAATTACAAATATTTCCAGGTAGTAATGTCACTAAAACATTTAAAATAGCCTAATAGAACCGTTGCAATAAGCACAAATGCCGTTTCCATAGACATTCTAAATCGTTCCGATAGGTCTTGCAACCCGTTCCAAAAAGTGTGACAAACTGATGCAATTGGCAATTGAAACCGATGCAATAGAAACAAAACCGTTACGATAGCGTAATGAAACCGTTACAATAGCTGTAAATAAACGTTGCAATAGCATACATAACCGATGCAATAAACTATATTGTAACAGTTTCCAACCATTGTAGTAAATAATATGGTAACAGTTTACAACCGTTGCATAAACTATATGGTAGCGGTTTTCAACCGTTGCAGTTGAAATGAACACTCGTTGCTTCAGACAGAAGAAAAACCGTTGCGATAGCTGGATCTATAGCAACGGTGTGGTCAACCGTTGCCAAAACCGTTGCTTTAGATCTATTGGCACGCGAGCGGATATCACGATCGCTGAACTGTTCCAATATATCTATGGCAACGGTTGACCTATCAATTACAACGGTTTACCTGCTGTTACCATAGGCCTATTTTCCAGTAGTGAGAATGGCCCATAGCCAAGAAGCTGTCCGATTACACATAAATCACCATGAGGCTGGACTTCATGATGCTGTGACCGCTGCTGCTGAGCGCGAGTCTGTCTTCGAGGAATAAATCAACAACTTGAAGGCCAACTTATGCTACAAAACCGAGGAGGCCAATGCTGTCGTGGAGAAGAGACCCAAAATAGAAGAGAGGCTTAAGAGAACCATGGAGCGAAACCGCCTTCACTCGATTGATTCCCGGCTTAGCGCAATGAAGGCTGAAATAGAAGAGCTCCAGGCCACAATAAACGAACTCCAAGCACAACTCCAGGATCAAGAAGATTCCATCGTCTTCGACAAGACCTATACTATGTATCATATGAAGAGGAAGACTTTGGATGAAGCCAAATTAGGCATTTCCAATATTGATGAGTGCATTGCCAATGCCCGGGAACTGGAGTTAACTACTCGTGAGAATCTTCCTGCTCGGACCATTGCAACTAACTTCTCGAATACTAGTTCCGAGTATTCGGAAACCAAAGGGGAGGGTGAAGAGGATGAAGGACCTGAACGGGTAGCGAACCCACCTTCTTCTACCGAGGGAAATATAGACCCTTTTCTCCCTTCGGGTTCTGGCAGCAAAGAATAATGTATAATTTTTTTCCTTTTATCTTTTTTTATTATGCTAAAACTTTTTACTAAGTTTGGCACTTAATAAATAAAAGTATTTTTTGCTTAAGTGTTGTGCAAAACATCTTTTTTATGTTTAGTTAATAAAGCTTCCGGTATATTTTTTCATTTGATAGCTTTCAATTCTGGGCATAAGCACTTTCGGAATCTACCCTTTACTGTGACGGTTTCATTAGAGAGGACCCTTATGTTTACCGTGCTCTTGATGATGACATCTCCTGTTCATTCTGGCACAAGTATTTGAAGTTTTTGTTAACTTTCAAACAATATAATTAACTCATAACTTGGACAAGAAATAAGACAAAAATAATAAACTTTGGTTTATTCCCTCCATCTTTAAAAGTACATAGGCATTCATTTTCTTGAGTAAATAAAGTTGTCAATACATGTGACTAACTTGTACAACTTATTTCTACGGGGCTGGTCCTGTAGTCCTGTAGTCCCCGGTCCTGATGAGACATTGATTGTTGTTCTAAAAGTCCCTGGCTTTCGTGGCACTCTTGGTGTCGTATCATACATTCCCTCCCCAGTGTTTGAATGCTAAGTATGAGGATTCGAACATTGGAAGTTTTTATACTGATGCTTCATCGGTGGAGACAACTTGTGAATGGTTAAGTAATATTTTTTGAATAGTGGAACACGGGGTTTGCCATTGAGCCAAAGACTATTTAACCATCCACAAGCTATTTACCATGCGAGCTCGTATTCCTCGATCCCATCGATGTGAGAACTTTGATGCCTTGATATTTAAAGGTCTTGCCTTTGCCGATGATCCTCCCTTCGTAGTTGTTTTACATCTCTGCCTCGTTAAAAATATTGCCAGAAAAACCCAATTGAGATCAAAACTAGTCGAAGAAAAAAAGAGTGCAACACATACATTCATTATCGACAAGAATCTTCAGCAATAATACCTTTTGAGGTGATTCATGTTCCAATTGCGGGACAGTTTGACTCCATCTTGATTTTCCAATTCATATGATCCTTTAGCGGTGATAGCCGGAACTCGGTAAGGACCTTCACACGTTGTTCCCAGCTTTCCGACGTTGATTTTGTGAGTGCTCTGGGTCACCTTCCTTAATACTAAATCTCCTACTTTGAAATAACAGATATTCGCCCTGCGATTATAATACTGTTTCATCCTTTGATTTTGGGCTACTGATAAGTCGGGATTTTAACATATTTTATGCCCCTACTTGCCTATGCTTTGGTTATAAATTGCTACAAAATAGTCGCAAAATGCTCACAGGTTGTGCTTGATTGCAGGTTTGATCGACAAAGTGACGAAATGTCAAAGATCGGCTCAAAAGGAGTGAAACCTGCTCAAGTATCAAAGATTAAGTGAAGTGAGGAAAAAAGGGCCTAGTGCGGACGGCACAAAAGTGAATGTGGCCGCACTAGGAGGTTCAGAGACATGGCTAGTTTGGGCTTAAGGCTACGCGGCCGCGGTACTCGTTATGCAGTCCGCGGTGGTGACTTCGCGGCCGCACTACCTTTTTGTGCGGTCCGCGGAGCAGAGGTTCAGAGAGATGTGAAATCCCAAGTGTTAAGCCACGCGGTCCACGGTCAAGCTTGTGCGGACTGCGCCTGTTGCCTTTGCGGCCGCGGTTCAATCCACGCGGTCCGCGGTCCTCAAGATCAGAGAAGCTGAAAGTTGAAGTTAAAGAGCCAGCGCGGCCGTGGTGCTTTTTGTGCGGCCCGCACTGACCCCGCAGGGGTATTTTTGTCCAATTTTTCCAGCATAGTATAAATAGAATATTTTACCATTTTTAGGTTATCTTTTGTATCTTCTGACTTCAGACGTGAGCTGCGCTGATTATTGTAGCCATTTTTGGCAGATTATTGTAGTTTCTTCTTAGTAGTCAATTAATATGCTTAGTTCTTCATCTATTTCTTCAATTTCTGTATCTAGCATGAGTAGCTAAACCCATTAGCTAGGGTTGTGACTCAACCCTAGTGTGGGTAATTGATGGTGTTGCCATCTAGGGTTAGATTGACTATGGGTGTTTGCTATTTGGGTTGATTTTATGTTTTAATTTCGAATTTGTGGTTGCAAACACTGATTCAAGCTTTGTGGGTTTAACTCCTCTTGAGAAAGAGAGTCTATGACCCCAAAATTGACCCAACAAGGAATTGGGATGGACTCATGAGAAATGATAGTCCCAATTAACGGGTTAAATCTCGAGAGAGTAATCACCCTACTTGAGCCCTAGTTGCTTGATCTAATTTGCCTACCCATTTGGTCTCGAGAGAGTCAATTGGGCAAAATCACTCTCTCTACCGAGAGGTGTGAGAGTGGGTAAAATTGTGCAATGGTTATAGCATAAGCCCCAATTATGTCAATCGAACCTTAGTAACATCTACCCGTCAATTAGCCACCTAGGTGATGCCACGACCCTAGTGCCCTTCTTCCCATTAGATACAACTTTAGCAATTATTCCATAGTATAATCTAGATTCAACTAGTAGCTTGATAACTATAGTTTATAATTGAAAAACCCAAAAATGATAAGAAGATCAATTAAGAGCATACACGCGATTCTAATCTAGATAGATACCCAGCTCCAATTTCTAGCTCCCTGTGGAAATCGATCCCGACCCTCATATCGGGTAAAAGCTATTGCGACCCTCTCTTCCTACTTTATAGTAGTGTGGAGTTGGCTGCGATCACTTTTTGGCGCCGTTGCCGGGGAGCTAACAGTTTTGGCTATCTATTTAGTTAGTTTTGTGTGTTGTTCTTCTTTCCTTCTTTGTTACTAATTTGTGTCTGTGATTACTACAGGTACCAAAATGGCTTTAAATGCAAACGACCCTCTTGGAAATGTGCTTGCGCGGGAGGAGGTTGAGGATATTGGAGATGATGAGGTGCCTCTTGTACCTCCAGGACCACGACGAGGTCGCCAGGCCAATGCTAATGACAACGTCCCAGACCCTCCTCCGCCACCTCCAAGAGCGGTTCCTCGAGTGCTACAGAATCAAGGACATGCGAGTGCCATCGTTCCTCCCCAAATCCGGGCGAAGAACTTTTAAATCACAAATGTCATGTTGACCTTGCTCGAGCAACGAGGATATTTTATGGGCACCTCCGATCAAAATGCCTACAAGCACTTGAAGGGGTTCGTAGATACATGCTGGGGTAGCAAGCAAACAAACGTGTCCGAGGATGCGTTGAGATTAAGGCTTTTCCCATTTTCTCTTCGGGGTAAAGCGTTCGATTGGTTAGAAAGGCTCCCCAATCATTCCATCACTACCTAGGATGAATTGGCGGACAAGTTTATTTCCAATTTCTTTTCGCCGAGTCACATGGCAGCGCTTCGTGATGAAATTTTGGCCTTCAAGCAAGAGCCAACGGAACCCTTGCATGAAATATGGGAGAGATTTAGAACAATGGTGAAAGAGTGCCCAAACAACGATATGACCGAGGCAATGATTCAACAAACTTTCTATCGGGGCATCAACACCACTAATCAATGCATTGTGAACCAATTGGCCGGAGGGAACTTTATGAAGCTTCCTTACAATGAAGCTTGTGATATTCTTGACGAGATGGACGACACTTCTTCGGCTTGGCAAAGTAGGGCCAATGTTCCTCAAGGCGACCCTACGATGATCCATTTGCACAAGGAGTTGCATGACCATGGTCAAGCTATTGCCGAGCTTACTACTACTATGAATCAATTGGCTAAGGCGCAATTACAATAAGTCCAAAATCCTTGCCAAGTCATTGCCATGAAAGGAGTGAATATGCTTAAGAGAAGGCAAAGAGGGAAACAACCTCAAGGAAATTGTGATCAATATGATGATGGTGGTGTTTTTTCAAATGAGTGTTATGATGAGCAAAGCGAAGAAGTTCAATATGTCAATAACTATCAAGGCAATCAAGGCAACTCTTCAAATCAACAATGGCGACCCCAAGGAAATTGGGGCAATCAACAAGGTGGTGGCAATTGGAACAACAACAACCAAGGCAGAAATTGGGGGAACAACAATTCGGGCAATCAAGGTAATTGGAATGGGAATAACAACAATTGGAACAACAATGGTCAAGGCGGGTGGAATAACAATGGAAATCAAGGCAAGCAGGGGCAAGGCTTTCAAAGGCCCCCGATGTACCAACAACCGAACAATCCACCCCTGTTCCCTTCTCAAGGATCTAGTTCTTCGGGTAATGATATGGGAAGAATAGAAATGATGTTCGAACAAATGATGAAGAAGAACCAAGATTCCGATGCTCAATTGGCTTCCCACAATACCTCTATTCGGAATTTGGAGGTGCAATTAGGCCAAATCTCTCAATCATTGAATACTCGCCCAAAGGGTGCTCTACCAAGTGATACGGTAGTGAACCCTAAAGGTGGGAACAATCATGTGATGGCGGTTACAACAAGAAGTGGAAGAGGCGGTGATGTGCATGCCTCGAAAGATAAGCAAGTTAAGGATGATG